GGAACTGGTGTGGTATGACTGTGGATGTTCTATATGTTGGGCTTCTTTTGGGTCGGGCATCCTTAAAACAGGAAGTTCCCAGTTCTCCTTAAGCTGTCCCATACGCGTCTAGGAATACTCACACACCCACGCACGGGTCCCAGAACTGTGACCGTTGGCCTGTTTTATGTAACCTACCTGTTACATAATCATCAAGTTCAAGTTAGGAGTGTCTTGACTTTTGCCTCGGGTCCAACACCTGCCTGTGGGGCTTTCATCACTTTATTTTCCTCCTCGGCTCCTGTTTATCTCTCCTGCCCTTCAAGTCCCTTGAAGACATTGGCACAAACCTCACCTGACTGAACTGATTAGTGGGCTGCCGATCAGACGGTTTTGCAGGGCGATGCTGGCCGCTCCAGCTGGAGCTGACCTCGGCAAGTTAAAGGTGGAGGAAGGGAAGGTTCGAGCTGAATCGCAAGCTCAGGGTCGGACACCAACTAATAAAATAAGTGATGGTAGTGGCTGCCGGGCAGACAGTGGGCTGCCGGGGAAGTGACAATTGAATCGGCGGGGGGTGAGCAGCAGCGAGGCAAGGCGTGGGCTGGATGGAAAACTAAAGAAACAATAAAAGCCGGCACGGCGGGGAGAGCAGAGGCGGCTGTCACCCTGTCTTAGGAGAAATTAAGAAGCCAGACAAATTATAAGTGTACCTTCCTCTGGAGACGCGCTCAGACAGCCTGAGACTGGCCCCCCGGGGGGTGGTGAGCGGCGCTGGAGGGCCCTGCGCGCCCGCTCTGACTCAGCATGGGCCCCGTCGGGACTTGCCGACGTGTGCAGGTGTCGATGAAGTGCAGGGCTGGGTGGTGTTTGGGGTGTTGCTGGATGTCCTTGACTTTCCTGTTCAGAGAGGGAATAGAAGATAAAGTGAGGATGGTGACCGTGGGGGAGGGCTCTGTGTGTCCAGCCGTGGGCTGCCACAGGGGAGGTCCCTGACTGCCCCATGGCCTGGTGCAGTCAGAGGGGACACTGAAGCGCCTGCCTGAGCACTCACAGCAAGGACTGTGCTCCTGACCTCCCCGGGAGTCCACCCCGGGAGTCCTGCAGCCGCCCTGTAAATGGTGAACAGTGCCTCTCGCAGGGACGGCTGGAGGGGGTGCAGCCACAGGAAGGGTTTCCAGGGACACCTAGACTTGGATGACACTCATGTCCTTTATCCTGCCACCAGAAGGGAAGTGGATGGGACCACTCTGAGCACTTTCCCTTCTTCAGCATTCGGTTGCTTCTCCTTCTCTCTATTGGCACTGGTTTCACTAGGCTCTCCATCAATAATGCCTGAAAGAGCGTGACTTGGGAACAAAGGCTCGAAGAACCTGTCCCATTCAGACAGCTGTGGGCCTAGCCGGGCGGGGCTGGCCAACACCTACAACTCAGGTGAGCTCCAGGCTCACGGAGCAGCTCAGCCCTGGTGGCCAGCAAGAGGGGGGCTCCTCCCTCAACTGTGCTCCCCAGCCCACACCCAGTCCTGCAAGCCTGCTCGGCCACCGCGGCCTCTGCGGGTTGAGGAGAGATTCAGTCTCCTTCTAGAGCAGTGGTTCTCAACCTGTGGGTCACGACCCCTTTGGTGGTCGAACGACCCTTTCACAGGGGTCGCCTAAGACCATCCTGCATATCAGATATTTACATTATGATTCATAACAGTGGCAACATTACAGTTATGAAGTAGCAATGAAAATAATTTTATGCTTGGATCACAACATGGGGAACTGTATTTAAAGGGCCAGAAGGTTGAGAACCACTGTTCTAGCTGGTTCTCTCCAGTTCTCAAGTGTCATGACCAAGTGGAGGGAGGAAGGCTGATTGTGACATGGATGCCGGCTTCGCAGCCAGCATACACAGCCTCCTCTCGCAGGGCCAGCCCCGGGCCCAGCACCGTCTTTGCCCCCCATGCCAGGACGTCAGGGAAGCCCGTGGAGTAGGGTTTCCGGGTAGATCCTCCCAGAAGGAAACACAGGCAGACGAAGAAGCCCCGTGGACTGCCCAGCCCCCGCTCATGTTTCGTGGGGATAATAGAAGGCGTAATTTGTTTTCAGGGTGTAATTTTATTAGCCCTGAATGCAAAAAAGGTAAGATGGATTCCCTAGTATTTTATAATAACTCTATCAATTTCCTAATACCATACTGTTATAATAAGCATTTTACTGAACGTGAAGAATAGGTAATTGCATTCCTTATCTATTAGCATATCATAATTTACCACCCCAAACTTTGCTCTCTTATCCCCTTCATTCTTCTATTTTCACTATTAAAAAACCTTTCAATGTTTCCTAAAGTGGCTCCTCAGGCTTACGTTGCAGGCTTTCTGCAGCAAACCTGAGTTTCTGTTACTGCCTCTCTCTTCAGATGGCAAATTACCCTGAACGGTTTAATGAATAAACTAACAAATGAATTAATAACCACCAGAGCAGGTCCCGGGGAAGCAGCGCGTTCAGGGGGCTCAGCCGAGGTTGAGTGGATGGTGGCTGTCTCCTGATACAAGATGCACTTCATGTTCCCCCAACTCTCTCCTTCCCGGCTCATAAGAGTGTTCACTGGCAGTTACATAAACAAGCACGAGGGAAATTATCGCCTAATTTCAAAACCATAAATGAATCACTAATATAAAGCGCACCTTTGCTTCATGCTTGTAAGTCTCAGGTGACTCATGGCGCGATGCTGTGCTTTCGGAGACGGGCTCGGAACAGGCTGACCTGCCCGACAGAGGCCCTGGCGTCCTCCGGGCGCTGCGTGAATGCAGGGGCCTCTCCGTGCGGGGAGGGTTCACCCGAGCGCCCTCCCCCCCAAATCACAGGCGTTAGGGCGTGTGGCCCTGTCCAGCACCGGGCAGATCGAGGAGCCTCCCTGGCCGCCACCCACTACATGCCAGTCATGCTTCCCTATGTTTGTGAGCATCTCCAAAGCTCCACACATTTCCAGAGGCTGCCCCGTGGCAGTGGGGGTGAGGGTCCTGCCCCTGGTGGAGAATATGGTGTGGGCCTGTGTAGCTAAGCCCCTGCCTGTGGCTTTTGGCCACTTGGCTAACTGACAATCCATGGAATGTAGTACTGCTGTTTTTAATTCTTGCAAGACACCTGTTTTTGTTTTCTAAAAGAAGAATGATTTTACGAATGGGCTCTGGGCTCTCAGGGAAGGAGA